TTGGTGTCAACTTAGAGCACCCCATTTCTCCTGGTCACCCATGCCCTACCTCACCCACTTTGTTCTTACATCAAAGGCCTACTCAAGAAAACTGCTTGTTATTTCCTGCCCTACACAGCTCCGATTCCGCAGCTGACTGCCTCATTACAGTGAAAATAACTCCTGCTTCAGGACAAACAATGCTGAGGCACAAAGGGAAAAATGAAGAGAAAAAACACAAAGTTGCAAATGTGAAATTCCCCCAAACTAGGTCACAGCAGATAGCTTACTTTATTTGTTCACCCTCTCCTAGAAATAAAGCGATTGACAAGCAAGGGAAAATGGCTAGGTTTCATGATTTAAATAAGCACCTAGTATTGATTTGGACGGTCTCGAATATCTACATATTGCCATTCTAAACCCACCTCCCCCCTTCCTACACATCGATCTCATTAAAAGGCCAAGGCTTCATTTGGAGCCTGTGCCTAAAACCTGATCACGCTGCCGTCTCCCATGGTGTTTGGGCACCAACTTCCGAGCCCATCTGCAGTGCACAAGAGAAGCTGTCTCTCCTGCACCTTTGTCAGCACTTGATATTTTCGTGTTTCGGTTCTGCCAATCCGATATTGAAGAGTGGTATTTCATCATTTTAAAATGTAGATGTCCCTGATTACTATCAACACGAAGGATTTTTCGTTTGTGTCTACTGGCCATTTGCAACTGCTTTTTTGTGTGAATTGCCTGTATCTTTTGCCCAATTTTCTATGAGTTTGCCTTTTTGTCCCAATTCCTTACCAGCCTAATTTCTTTTACTTCCCAGGTTCCAGCTTCTCCTGACCACCAACACCTCCTCCAGGCCACGCTGTATTTCTCCTTCATATCTCTTGTAGGGCTTGAAAATTAACTGCTCAATGCCCCTCTTCCCGAAAGCCTGAGGGCCATGAGGAAGATACTCTGCGTGCCTGTCTCTGACCCCACTATCACTGCAACAACTAGCAAAAAGCTACGGGTGTTGACTGAATGAACAAAGTTCCCTGTGTCTTTCACCAATGAGGTCCAGGCAGAAACCCACTCAAGGTGCGCCACTGAAAAGAGTCTCATAAAGGGACCATTTGAAAAGGTGGGAGCAGAGGCCCCCAGGACTCAGTGATGAGGAGCCTATGAGACCTCTAGCCATAGGGGAGGGTCCGGGAGATCTCACCCAAGCCTGAGAAACTGCCTCGCTGATTGAAACTGCCTGGATGGTGCCATCACCACTTCACTCAGAGAAAACCTTCTTCCACTTGAAACCTTAATATTTCAAATTCTAAATCCTACAGAGTAACACCACATTTAAAACCACTGTAGAAGATAAACAAAAATCATTGCCAAACGAGTTCTACAGGAATGGAAGGCAGGAAAAGGCCAGAAAAACTAGAATTACCCTCCTAGCAGAATCACCCACTTGCTGTATGACTTCGGGGATGTTTTCTGAACACCTATCTCAGTTTCCCCATTAGAAAAGTCTATGTACTATTATTCCCCCCCCAAAATTATTTTGCTCAAGAAAAAGAAAGCTCCTTAAAGAAAAAGACAGTTGCCAAAACCCTGTCCTATCAGCCAACTTCCACCAGGCCTTGGAATTCTCAACAAATGGCTGGTTTTGCAATTCTTTTGGCTTTGCCAACCCTCCAGGGTAAAAAAAATCTTCCCACAAGGTTTGGAGGCTTTCAAGTGGAGGAAATCTCGGAGAAAAATCTGGGTTGATGAGCAGCTAAGAAAAGCCAGGAGGAAAGACACACATCTATATATGTTTAGGCAGAAAATAGAAAAGGTTGAAAAGCAATGTTTCTAAAATACTGCTTCTCTGAAAGCAACCTTCTGTTACTCCTTTACTCGCCGGGTGACTGAAAAAGGCAGCGTGATTCCCGTCTTCTATTCATGCCCTAAGCCCCGGCTGGGGAGTACGCGGCGTGCAGCTCTGACGAAGGGGGGCTTGGGTTCAAATCCTGCATTTAAGGAAGGGACACCAGGCAAGGCACTCACCTTTCTGCAACTCAGTGTCAGCCCATGAAAAATGAGTATAAACATCGCCTTTTCTGGATTGGGGGAAGAATTATAAATCATGAAAATGAAGTGCATGCCAGCCAGTGGGCTCCTCACACACGGGAGTTAGATTTGTCACGGGTGCTGTGGTTTGAAAATCAAAGGAGCTTCTTTACTTAACAAAGATTTTTGGAGAAGCTACTATGGGCTGGGTGACAGAGGTGACAAAGGTGAGACAAGTTCACAGTGTCCCTCACCTCCTGGGCTTAGAATCTGGTGAAAGGAGATGTTACTCGAATCATAACCGAAGAAATACGTAATTGCTGACTGTGATAAATGCTGAAGGGAAAAGAGTCTGCTCAGAGAGCAGAATGGGGGACCTGGTCTGGTCAGGAAGATCTGGGGCCAGGGGCTGAAGGAGGAAGGATTAACTAGCTACAGTGGTGACAGTGGGACCAGCACGTGCTAGAGGTCTTGGGCCAAAAGAAGGGTCACCCTTTCGAGAAGCAGAAGAAAGGCCAGCGTGGTGAAGCGTGGAAAGGGGAGATAAAGCTGGGGAATCCGGCAAGACCTCCCTGTAAGCCACACGCGGGATGGAAAGGTCAAGGTCATGGTCCTCCGAGAATGAGAAACCGCAAAGCTAAAGATGGGGTCTCAGATCTGCGACCGACATTTGCTAGCCAACTCCCTGCAGCCCTCTCTTCAGCTCTGGATCCCACACCAGTTAGGCGAGTAGCGATGTTTTCACGATCGCAGCATATTCCAAAAATTACATACACACGCGCGTTCCGAGAGGATAAGCTGGCCTTGCATTTGCCATTCACCGTTTACCACCCTGGGAAATAGCTACGATTGCTCCTAAGTTCTGATCCCTTTGAGTCCCTGGCTTACCAAAGGCCACACCAGCATCTCCCAGTGCACGTGCTGGCCTTGCGTCGCCCTGACAGGCCTCCACCGAGTGAGTGATGGCCCCCATCTTCTTAAGCTTGGGCTGACGTCGCTCACTGCCTCGACCAACAGGAAAGTGACACCATGTGACTTCTGAGGCTAAGACATAAAAATGCCAGGCACTTCCACCCTGTTCTCTTGGACCCCAGCTGCCATGCTCTGGGGATGTTCAAACCAAGGCACATGGAGATGCCACATGTAAGTGTTCTGGCTGACATCCCAGCTGAGGGTCCAGCCAACAGCTGGCATCAACCCCAGACTGAGAGTGATGCCGTCACCAGATGGCTGCAGACCTGGCTGTGAGGTCACCTAGCCTTTCACTCTTTCCAGCTGAGGCCCCAGGTATAATGGAGCAGAGAAAAGCCACCCCTCTATGCTGTCTAAGTTCCTCAGCCAAAGTACCCATAGCAAAAAAATAATTGTTTTATACTAGAAAACGTATCTCAAAGTATGTGTGTACGTGTACGTAAAAGCACACATATACAGGGTGTCCCAAAAAATGTATATGTACTTTGAATAATTATAAAGTCAGTGTTTATTAACATACAGTTCATTTTCAAAACTTAAAAGAATCTACAGAAATGAATAATTTTTTTGTCAACGCCTGTTTTCAAACTGATGACCGTTCTGGTCCAGGCACTGCTGATAACAAGAAGCAATGGAATCGCAAACGTCAAGAATCATTTCGTTCAGTATCTGTGTGCCCTCAATTTGTTGACTGTTGCTGGTTTTGTGCAGTAAACTTTACCTTTTATGTATCCCCATAAAGAAATCTAGTGGCACTTTAGGATAAACTGTCTTTGTTCAAAGCCTAGTCTGGCTTCACCCATTATTTCAAATCAGTTAAACCTGAACAGGTGTGAAAATGAAGTGAGTTATCAGCGGCTAAAGTGGACGTACACTTTTGGAACACCCTACATGTACACATGCGTATATACTTGAATAATTTTTCTTATTCACTGTTCACCTCTCAGGAACCTTCTTCAGGGAACGGTTACTCCTGAGTTAGCACCCTGGGCTTCATCCACACCACTTCTGGAAAAAGATCACCATGGTCCTTACTTCAAAGAATAATTAAACACTTTAAAACATTCGAAATATACAAAAGTAACCCATCCTCACTGCAAAAAAGAAAGGAACACACTTGTTAGCAAGTCTGACAACTTATTGCAATTGGCTTTGAAAACAGAGATCAAAAACGAGATCTTCATCGGCAGCAACTAACCAGGACGCCCAGGACTTAACTCTCCCCGCTGCCGGAGGCTCACACATCTGCAAAGAGTGTTTGTAGCTTAAATAAGGCCACGCCGATAACGTGCCCTCAGCTGCCTTTAAGGGCCCACACACTTCCAATTATTATTATCCCTTTGTTGTCATGAGAATTAAATTTTTCTTGGTTCCCCCATTAACCCTTTCGACCTAAATTTCACAATGCTCCTGTTTCACCTCAGCAGAAAAGACTCTATACTGACTCTGGTTAAATGTCAAGAAAGGGATCTCAGATTCCATATGATCAGAAATATTATACATTATGTAACATAATTACCACACACCTCTATTTTGGTTTAGTGAAGAACTGTCCTTTTTATTTTTTAAAAAAAGTCAATCTGTGTTAGAAAAGAGGGTTCTGAAAAGTTCCACTTAATCACGCATGGCTTTCAAGGTGAACAAATAAAAATATTACCTTTGATCCTTATGAAGGTACCCCCTGTGTGGTTACATAAATATTACAAAGCTGCACCCAGACGGTGGTATAAATACCAGGGAACAAAGGTGCGATCAAAGAGCCAGGTCAACTCCCTCTACTCATCAATTGCTGTGTGACCTGAAGCGAATCACTGAGCCTCTCTAAGTCCTTAAAACAAGGTTAACTTCCAAACTTTTTTTCCTTGCTGAAAGGGCCCTTAAGTCGAGTAGCCCCAGGTTTCCAAGGTCATACTCACTATTCAAATGCTTACATGTTGAATGACAATCTCCCAAGCAAAGGAATCACTTGCAGATTCACACACATTAATTAATATCTTTAAAATTATCTCAAAAAGCCATACCTTGCTGTGAAATACTGGTGTGTCTCACGTAATGACATTATCAATATATAACAGAAAAAAGGGTGCTGCGACACAGAATTAAGTCTAGCATGTCATTTGGGGGAAAAAAATGGAGGTTGGATGGCATCCCCTCAACACTTGGCTTTTCTTGGTTATCTTCAGGTACTGGGGTGAGGGTCTTCTTAAGCCCCACATCTATGGGAGGGGGTAGAGAGAGGGAAAGACAGTATGAGTGGAAGGAAAAAGAGAGAGATCAAGAGCAGGAATGGGGGAAAGGGCTGTGCTATGGAACTAAATCTGAGTCACTGGCACCTGAACAGAAATGTCACTGCCAGGGAAACCATTTCAAAATGACATTCTAGTCACCACGTTTCCAGTTTGCAGAGTGTCTGCACTCCCTTCTCCCCAAACATCCCAGCTTTCTCGGGGCCCAGGCAGCTCCCTGCCACTGATGGACTTAATTGTATGGGTCACATTCTCCATCCTGAAAAATGTCTCTTTATCCTGGAAAGTGGTGGGAACTCTATGACTCATAGAGCCCCGACATGCAAGAAAAATGGCCGGCATGCAACTGACTAGGAATGGCCCTTTCCAAAGGTGACATGAAGTACAGGCTGGCTTGGCACTCATAGAAACTGAGACTGAAATGGGGGGTCATGAAAACCCTCTTGGTGAGAACTGGCAGGTCTGACTCTGCCCTTGGAGAGGGTTCCACTTCCCTCACCCAGCACGGTCCCCTTCCTGATGTCAGCCCCCATCGCCAGACCACCTGGGATTGGGGAGCAGTAGGGAGAGCCGTGGAGTCTCGGCAGCTTCACCGAAGGCCAGAAGAGACTCTCATATTACCATATATGCTGAAGTCTGTCAACAGGTCTGCGAAGACCTGAACCAAGATGGACCATCTGCTTTCCCCACAAAGCACAAGACCAGCCAATCTGGGGGAGATCCCTTAACTGATGACACCTTTACAAATATTTTTCCATCACTAATCCAAATGCCTTTCCTGTGCACTTCATAACACCTCGTATTAAAGCCACGTCTATCTTAACACCAAAGCACGGATTTGTAACTGCTTTTTCTCACAATTATTTATATGACTATTTTCCCAGGAAACATGCCACTTGAACGGCTGGGATATAAAACCGTTTTTACAAGGGCGATCCTTCCAAGTCATTCCTCTGGTTTTTAGACAGCTGCACCCCAGGGTCCAAACTGTTTTTCGGTGGACAACTGCTCTGAGCACATTTCTCCACAATATCTATTTCGGCTCCAGGAAGGCCAAAGACAGAGATAAAACAAAAGTTGTCGGTTTAGAGGGTGGACCCACTGCCCGGCACCATGAAAGCAGAGGGCAGAGTGACGGGCAGTCCAGTCCAAACCATTTACTCCAGAACTGCGAGTCCACAGAGCACCGGTCTGCCCAGTGCCCGGTTGGTCTGAGAGAACAGTGCATTCCTAAGCCCTGGCCAGGTGGCCACTTTTCTCCTCTCCAAGTTCCCAGCATCTGTTCTCCAAAGGCCGGCGCGGTGCTTTCCACCTGGCCGCCCTGCCCGTTCCGTATGGAGAACACTCGGGAACCACGCGTTCACCTGCCAGCCCGCCCCCCCGGTGCCCTCCGCCCAGCGAGCACACAGGTGGGTCACCTGCGCAGGTACCGAACCTCGCCGGGTCCAGTCCACCGGGGGACCTGCTTAGGGTAACAGTCCCCACGGCCGCCACCACCAGCCCCTCCAGCTTGTGGGTGCGTCCCTCCCAGGGGCACAGGTGGGGGTTCCCGGGCCAGCCCGGCGCCCCGGGTGCTGAGTGCTTCTCCGTG